TCCTTCCTTCCTTCCTTCCTTCCTTCCTTCCTTCCCTTCTCTTCTTTTCTCTTCTCCCTCCATTCTTTTCTCTCCCTCCCTCCCTCTCTCCCTCCCTCCTTCCTTCCTCTTCCCTGTTCTCCTTCCTCCCCCCTTCTTCCTTCCTTCATTTTTTATTTTATTTATTCATTTGATTTGTCAATCGCTTACAAGATAACAGGTATAAATATAAACAGGGTTATGAATACATGAAATGGATATGAATTAAAAAAGAAACAATAGGACAGGGACGGTAGGCATGTTTGTGCACTTACGCACGCCCCTTACAGACCTCTTGGGAATGGGGTGAGGTCAATAGTGGATAGTTTGAGGTTAAAGTTTTGGGGGTTAGTTAGAGGATGTAACAACAGAGTCAGGGAGTGCATTCCAGGCCTTGACCCCTCTGTTGCTGAAGTCGGACTTCCTGCAATCGAGTTTGGAGCTGGTTACATTGAGTTTGTATCTGTTGTGTATCTGTTGTATTGATTGTATAAGCAGCAAGAGTGGGAAGAGCCGGGAAGTTTGGAGGGAGCTATCCTGGCTTACGTTTTTAGTGCCCTTCATATGATTAAGGTCTGCCAGTAATTCAGGGAGCAGCTTGCCCAGGCCCCTCCCTTTTTACGGCTCTCTCATTTGCATATGCAGATCATCTGGACCGTCTTCCTTAGGGAAGAGCAATCATGTCTTCAAGGACTTGTTAGCTGTTTTTCATCCCTGATGAGCAGCGGTCCAAGGAAGGAGAATATCCGGAGAGCAGCGGGATTGGGCCAGATCGGGTTCAGAAATCTCCCTTCCCCGGGGTCGAAACAAGGAGTTTTTTGGGGGGGGTCTGGAACCCCAGGAGTGGGAGGGGGTTATGAGCAGCTTAGCCTGCCCTGCCCTAGATGGAGACAGCCGTGGCTGAGTTTCCTCGGCCAGCTCCTTGTCAAAGGAGCTCAGAGGAGGAGAGAGAGAGAGAGAGAGAGAGAGAGAGAGGCGAGTCCATCCTTAAAGAGGACATGTCAGGTTCAATTAGTGTTATCTGTCTAAATATGTGCTGGGAACAGAAAATACAAGCCGAGGCTTGGTGGCTTTGATGGAGACATATGCAAGGTCAGCCTGCCCCCTGCAATCCCCCCCAATCTGATTTGGGGGGATTACACCTTCTAAGTCAATTGGCGTTACTCCTCGTGCATCGTTGATAAAGCCGCGGTGGCCGAAATAATAAAGCGGGGAAAAGGAGGAAGGGGGCGAGAGAGGGTCGGAGGAGTGCATGGGGGGTGTGGGGGGTGGGAAGACGTGGAAATCTTTTTTTGTGTTGTTTTTTTAAATCTGGCGGTGGGTGAGGGGTGGAAGGGGAGAGGTGGGGAGAGGACCGGCGGAGTAGGGAGGGGCGAGGAAGAGGTGGAGGAGGAAGATTAGAGCGTTGGAGGATTTGAGTTTGGCATTGAAAATTCGGGGCCTGCCGTTGAGCACTTAGGTTACCGGGTTGGGGTGGCTCTGTTCATGCTCAGAGTACCTCTTGTTTTACCTCCTGGAACCTCGGTCTGAGGACTGAGGGCAAAGGACAAGACCCCCCCCCGCAAAAAAAAAAAACAGAGGTCTCCAAGCTTGGCAACTTTCAGATTTATGGACTTCGACTCCCAGCATTGAAGTCCACAAGTCTTAAAGTTGCTGGAGAATTCTGGGAGTTCAAGTCCACCAGTCTTTAAAAGTTTGCCGAGTTTGGCGGACCCCTGCCCTAAAAGGACTATAGCTCCTCTTACAAAGGGGTTGGCATCGTGGGATGCAGCGAGGAAGGCTGCAAAGCTACGAGCCCCCTGCCCCCCCCAATCTCATTCCCACCTCGCAAGGCAGTTGTAAAGATGCCACGGGACTTGAACCAACTTCAGCCTAGCTGCAAGTTTCAACTGCACTGTTCTATTCGATGCATGCAAACTCCCCTTCCTCGAATGACCCCCTTCGCCTTCCTTTACTCTCTCGACACAGCCTGGCTGTAAAGGGGGGAGCCCTGCGCTGCTTCCAGATACATGCCTTTCCCCATAAAGTTATGGTTTTTTTTGGGGGGGGGATAAGGAGTGGAGGGTTGCTCTGCGGGTTACATCCACAGAGTGGGCCAGCGAGGGACAGCCAGGCTCCCCATACCCTCCAGCTATCAGCAGGGGAAACCGGAACCCCTGGCCAGCTGTTTTGCAAGCAGCTGTTTCGGCCTTCCTCTCATCCTCTCTCTCTCTCTCTCTCTCTCTCTCCATCCAAGCACAAGGAGACTCCCGATCGGAAGTCTCACAATATGGTTCTTTTTTAGGTTCCTTCACAGTTTGGGAACATATGGCTCTAAATAATTCAATTTACTTTGCATGATTCTCTCTCTCTCTCTCTCTCTCTCTCTCTCTCTCTCTCTCTCTCTCATTCTCTCTCTTTCTCTCTCATTCTTTCTCTCTCTTTCTCTTTCTCTCTCTCTCTCTTTCTCTCTCTCTCCCTCTCTCTTTTGGGGGGGTGAGTTGGTTTCTTTCTTCTTTTTAATTGCAATTGTGACAAGATGTGGAAAGGAACTGTGAAAAGAAGACACAACACAGAGGGGCTATCTTTTGAGCTTATATGCCAAAGCTCACCCACCACCACCACCCCCTGCCCCCCCCCCCCCCCCCGCAGCCCCAAGACAAGGATCTTTTTAAAAAGAAGAGAGAGGGGGGAAAAAAGAATGGCTGGAACTGAGCATTTGCCTCTACGGTCCCTTTTCAAAGGGCGGCAACTAATCCCTGCATCAGGTTCCGTCGGGCAAAATGTTTTGCTTTCATTCTGCTGGTTCAGGCATCCAAGTTTCAACCTCTAAAGGCTGTCAGAAGGCAAGGATTTAAATAAAAAAAATATTCTAGTCCCTGTGCTATTTTCCAAAGCACCTGAAGGCCAGACAAGGAACAATGGATGGAAGCTGAACAAGGAGAGATTCAACCTGGAAATAAGGAGGAACTTTCTGACAGGGAGAACAATCAACCAAAGGAACAGAAGTTGCCCTCAGAAGTTGTGGGAGCTTCATCCCTGGAGGGTTTCAAGAAGAGACTGGACTGCCCTCTGTCAGGAATGGTGTAGGGTCTCCTGCTTGGGCGGGGGGTTGGACTAGATGACCTACAAGGTCCCTTCCAACTCTGATTATCTGTTAGCCTCTGCATCCACGGGCTGCTAAACCGTCAGCAATGATGGGTCTCAGGAATTGACTGTCTTTCCTCTCTCTCTCTCTTTTGTTTTACTCCTCCCCAGGATGAAGTGACTCCACAGCTTTCATTCAACGCAAACCATTTGCGGAATCTGAATCCAGAATCCTCAAAAGGTGGGAGAGCCTGCCAGGACCACAAATGGGTATGTCTGCCCCACAGGGGATAACTTTTCTTCTTACTTTCTTTTTTTTTTGCTGTTTGTGTTGGTGTGTGCCTGTATCAGTGTGGTACTTAGATACATCCCATGTACTTCCCTGAGCCCAAAAGATAGATAGATAGATAGATAGATAGATAGATAGATAGATAGATAGA